TTTTGGGGGGTGATATCTTTTATTAGACCAGCCATATGAGTTGGAATATGGTTAAGCAAGATTTTCAATGCAAAACATTCTTCACCATCCCTACCTCAGCCTGTGAGCCCCTGGCCAGGGCGTGGCCATGCCCCCTGTTCTCCATTTGAGTAGGAAACGAGAAGCAGGGAGTGGGGGAACTTGGGGTGGGGAAAAGTCTGGGACGGACTGCCCCCCCCCCGCCCCCGCTGGGGTCCTCATTTCAGCTTGCAAGCCCTCAGCTGGGGCATGATCATGCCTCCCCATTCTCTGCTCAAGCAGGGGGAAGAGGCCTGGCAGTAGGGGTGTGCAAAGTGGCCCCTATTTGATTCAGATTCAGCCAAATCAGGGACAGTGATTCAATTCGTTGATCTGGATCACTGTCCCTGATTTGATTCTGCCAAATCTGAATCTGAAGATTCAAAGCTGATTTGGAGAATCAATGATTCAGACATAGACACAGCTTTAAAAATTTTTTCTACATACCTCAAGGTACCAGCATGGCTTGTGAACACTGCGATGCTGGGGTGGATGCAGCATCCCACAGTAGTGTTGGGGGTCCTCCACATGCTTGGTAGCAAACCTCAAAGTGGACTGGAAGTACTTCTGGTCCACTTCCAGGTCCACCAGGGAGCATGCTGTTCCCCCCCACCCCCGTGTGCCTCTCCAGCTTGGTGATCAGCCACAGGGGAACCTCAGGTGCCCTGCCAGACCCAGGAAGCACCAGTCGCTGAGCTGAGAGGGGGGGTGGGGGGGGCCCTGCACGCTCCCCAGCAGACCCGGAAGTGGACCAAAAATGCTTCTGGTCCACTCCTGGATCTGCTGCCAAGCATGCTGGGGACTCCCCGTGTTCCTGTGGGATGATCCATCCACCCCAGCATCGCAGCATTCATGAGCCACCTGCTACCTAGAGGTATGTTGAAAAAACATTTAAAGCTGTGACCATGTCCAAATCGCCAAATCTCTCCAGATCAATTTGAAGGGTTCTGATTCAATGCGGAGAGATCAAAGAGTCCTCTGATTCGATTCAGATTCAGAGATTCAGCCACCAAATCGGGCCGAATCTCCGTCGAATTGAATCAAGGACTAAAGCTTCTCACAACCCTACCTGTCAGGGGCTGCCCCATCCCTGCCAGGCCAACTGGGTTCCAACTCAACCAGGCTTCCCACCCCACCCCCTTGTCAGCCAGCCCTCACTGCTCCAGCTAGAGAGCAAAGGGGCAGGGCCAACCCTGCTCTCCAGAGGAGAAAACACAGCCTAGCCCAGGAACTATGATTTAACTTAAACCAGGAAGAGGTCTGGGACAGAAGTTTCATAAACCAGCTTGACCTAAATCAGCAAGTCTGATACTACATTCAACCAGGTTTATCTTAAACCAGTTTAGTTCCATTCTTTTTTAATTTACAGATAGGTATGTGATCTTTGCTTCATCTTCTCTGTCTCTACTCTTAAATCTCTGCAAGACCTTGACAACTTATCTGTCTCAGTGTTAGCAGATTTATTTGGCATAACTTGCAGTAACAGATTCTATACCAGGTTTCTTGTTTTTGCTATGCTGTACTTTGTATCCATTTAACAGTGTGACATGTACAAGTAATTTTTTTAAAATGTATTGATGTTTCTTAAATCCAATACAAAATCAGAAAATACATATATCAGCTGTACATGTAAATGTGAGTTTTGTCTTTTTTCCTAAATGACATCCTGCCTGTAGCTGAGACCTGTTTGTCTGTTCAGTTAAAAGCCTTACAGAATGGAGAGCTATAAGTATAAACCACATCCTTCCAAGCATACCCATAATAAAATCAATACTAGATTCAATGTAGGAAACTGAAACTCTTCATGAACTGTCTTTTACAGAGCAAAAATTATGTCTTAATGGCAGCTCAAGAGGTAATTTCAGGAAAACCAATGAAGCAGTCTCCAGTCTGATATTTCTATGTACTACCTGGGGAAAAATCCAAGCCTTCTAATAACTCTTTTTTTTTTTATTTTATGCTGTGCACATTTGCAAGAAGTGAGCGCTAATCATGAAGCTGTTTGAATTTATGTACTTGGAAGGAAGCCTTGTAATAAATCTTTGGTACTAATGCGCAACCTTGTGTAACCTCTCAACCAACCATGTTACATCAACACAATGCTATTTAGCATGTTTCAGGGCTCAGTGTACCACCTGAGACCAATCAGATATGTTTGATCATGCAACATTTGTACAGATTAAAACTATCAGCCTCCAGTTGTTTGTCTTTTTGTATCTTTTGTTCCTATTACTCAATCTTTATGGGCAAATTTCCAATTGTGGGCAGATGTGTTTGAGCGGTAAGAAACCAGTGAATGAATGAGAGCACTTAGTGGTTTCTTTCTTTTTTTAATGGAAAAGTAGCTATAGTGGAATGTTGAAATACTAAGAAAACAGAAGCCAGCTATCACAGATATATTGATTTGATTCAACTGTGAAAATCTGAAATCTCTGTGTTCTTATATTTTTACTTACTTTGATTAATTTCTCAATGGACTAATACAGAAGAAAAAAAAAGTATCTTTATCTTTGTACGATTTATCATTTTTTATTGATTCTGGAGCTCTTGGCTGTCAGAGAGGTTACCAGGGATCGCTATGTGGAAGCAGCTCTCGTCAATCCCTGGCTAATGAGAGACTTTTTAAATGTAACTTGCTCACTGGGGAGTTTGTTTCTCTCTACAGGTGGGAAACAGAAGGTCTTTACATCTGCGAAGGAAGATTGTAGACGCCAAATAAAGAGAAAGATGGCTACATGCTAAAGTCATTCCCACTCTTCTCTGTCTCTTGCCCCTCCCCACCTCTGATGCAGGTACTTTGCTCGCTATGGCCAAGAAAGGGTTGGCTAAGAAGAAGGGGAGGAGTCAAGGAATAGCTATTACACATAACAGGTTCCCAGAATGGTGAAACAAACAATACAGTTTGCCCTCAGTGAGGGGTTAAGGACAGTTCTTCCTTCATGGATCTGGCAGACCAAATTGGTGGTACAAGCAGCTATTTGCCCTTGGCCCAAACAGTTAGCCAGTAAAATCGGTACTTTGCTGATTTTTCTCCCCAATGGGATGAAAAATGACAGAGACAAATCATGACCTTTTTTTGTACAATTCTGTTTATTGACAAAGAATGTTCATGGAGTCCTGTTCCCCTGAACAGAGTCCAAACAAAAAGGCCAGTTATCTTGTTCAAAAACCTAAGCATGCTCTCCAGGCAATCCAGTGCACTTGGATGTTCTGTCTTGCTCACTCTCTCTGCTCCATCTCTGGGCCACACTACTAGTTCTTCCCTCTTTTTTCCTAGCCTTCTTGTTGCTTTCTTCTTCTGAAGTAGACACACCAAGCAACCAATCAGTATTCCAACCCCTGCCTTTACAGTGTCCAAGGAACACCTCATGCCAAGTTTTTTGTACTCAAAGCCCCAAATCATGTTTAATTGCTTAGTGTTGAAGAATAACAGCATCGTGCTACTGCTTCTCCAGGCTCATTCAAGGCAAATTACCACAACTTACTGGTGGGAACCATCAACTGCTGATAGCAAGAGGTTAATAAACTGTCCAGTAAACAATTTTGAGGCCATGAAATGTGTGAGGACGACAATAATCATAGACTCATAGAAAACTAGCCCAACCCCCTGCTCAAAGCAGGACCATCACCAACTACATGATTCAGGCCAAGGCTTTGTCGAGCCAGGCCTTAAAAACCTCGTGGAATGGAGATTCCACTACCTCTCTCGGTAACCTGTTCCAGTGCTTCATCATCCTTCTAGTAAGGAAGTTTTTCCTAATATTCAACCTTGCATGTGAATTTGTAAATGATATATTACTTAGGTCACTGGTTCTCAACCTCACTAGACTCAAGGCACCCCTCCATAACTTCTGTGACTTGAGTGGTATCCAATTTTTAAAAACTAACTGAATATATTACATAGCATTTATATATATTACAGTGCAGCGGAGTGTGTGTGTGTGTAATATATATAAATATACACACATTTCCTCTGCAAGGAATATATAAATAAGTAGGTGGATGGTGGGGAGGGGTGTGTGAAAGGAGGAGAACGGTGCAGGGGGGTTCTGGGGCCCTGCACCCCTAGCTGCTGACAGGCAAAACTCGTGCCAAGACTGTGTCTGTCTTGGGGCAGTTGATTGTATTTATTCTTTCCTCTCCTTAGCCTGGTTTTGTAGGTGCTAATTGATGCTCGTTAAGTCATTATATAGTAGTTAGGTCCTGTGTATTGAGCTGGTCCCTGAGTCCCTGGTCACTGAGTGAATCATGATTGATTGCTTGGTAACTGGTAACACAGTAGATCAGCAGCCAGGCCTGCAGTAGTGTCTCTCTTCCCCGCCCCAAGACACAGTCCATCCCACAAGCACCCATGGCATGAGTTTTGCTCGTCAGCTTTCAACAATTTGGGGTACAGTTGCTCCCAAGCCCCTGCACCGATCTTCTTGAGACTCTGCAGGCTTCATCCTCTCTGCAGAGTCTACCACCTCTGAAAATTTCATCCAAATTGGACAAAAAACAACAAAGTTATAGATATTTTATTGTTTCCCAGTTATACCCTATGGCCGGATCTCTGAAGCAGCTCCGAAGCTCTTCAGAAGCTCCGAACCGCTTCGGGAAGCCTAACAAGGGCAGCGCTTTGACCTGGACATGCTGCTTCGGACCCTGAAGTGTCCAAAGCTTCTCCGGATCCAAAGCTCTGTCCGAAGCCTCGCACAGCCCTAATATCTATACCTGGGAATTGAGCAGGCAGAGGTATATTGAACCTGGTGCAAGGTAGATCTGCCAGTACCTCTCCCCAGCCACGAAGGAGACTAAGAACACAGACCGGGAAATACTAGCATTTATTGTACTAGCATTTATTTTGGACATGACTGTGCCAGCTAGACGTTACTGTAGACTGAGAGACTGAACCAACCTCTTTCAACTGTCTTTCAATCAGAAGGAACATCTGCTGAGAATGAGAATATTGTGTATTTTTCCCCATTTTGTCTTAAAGCTGACAAAGGAATATAATCCACAGGATGTAGTGGGTTTTGGTCTTCACCTTGTTTTCTTTTCTTTAACGTTTTTAAGACCCATCCAGGATGTGACATAGATGGGACTTGACTTTACACTTCTGTGACAGGGTGTGTGTGTGAGAGACCTCTTGCCTCTTTCCTGCATCTCCTGATAGATGCTACTGCTGTTGTACTGGTCCTGTGGGGGCTGCCCTAGTTTAAACTAGTCTGTATAAACTGAGGACTCTTAACACTCACACTACAAAGTATGAATGTAAATGAGAATCAAACCCTTGCTGTTTGACTTACATGAACTTATGCTGACAAACACCCTCATGTTTTTTAACACTGAATGTAGCATATTTTCTTACCTACGCGTGCCCCAGAAAAAGATATGAACATTTTTGGAAAGGCAGAATGAAGGCAAAAAGATCTTTCCCTGTACTAACTGGGCACGCCTACACAAGATGCTATGTCATCTTCATCATCTTGTGAAAAAGTACTTTGTTTGTGTCTAGAAAGAGCTGCCTCTACTTTCTGTAACAAATAAGGATAAATGATTTGGCTGGAAGAGACCTGGTTGCTGGATTATTTAAGCCAATTCATTCCTACACATGTTCACACAACTGCAAGAGACCTTCCTTTATGCCATTGTTCTTGGTGTTGCCCACTGAAATCAATGAGGATCTTTCTTTTGATTTCACAGGTGTTGGAACAGACTCCAAATGTCTATGTTTTTGTTTACAAGATGCAAAAATTCTTGTGTGTGATATCTTTTATTGGACCAACTGCACGGTTGGGATTGACATAGGCAAGTTTTTGGGTATCACAATACCCTTCTTCAGGCTTCTGAGAGAAAAACAAACACAATACAGCTAAATAGCAGGTGGAACAGAAGTTTATGTGAAACTCCATGGCTGCTTGCAGATGTTAAAAAACAAACAAAAATAACTGGCACTTCACTTAAAACTCGGTGCACCCCCGCACTGAACCCAACACATGCCCAGAAGAGGCAGTGTGTTAACTGAACCTGGCTCACCCAACAGCTGTATAGACTGGGCATAAAAGATCCCTTTAGTGGGTCTTTTTATCTAATCAGCTATTAGATAAAAGTGCCAAAAAACCCTCAGAAGCACCCAATCTATACAGAGGCTGCAGAGCCAGGCTGAAGTAATGTGCTGCTTCTTCCAGTAAAACACGGTTGGTTGGTTTGTTTGTTTGTTTGTTTTAACATCTGCTCGCAGCCCGTGTCAGTAAAACCAGGATACAAGAAACATCAGGTAGCCAACAGGCAAGAGAGATGCAATAAACACCTGATAATGGAAGAATGGGATTGTTCAGGAGAGCTGTTACCTCCTGTGAAGCGCAGAGATGATTGATTTAAAAGGCAAATTTGGTTAAACCCATAATCAGATTAGGAAAGTAAATACAATTTCAACTAGGAAGGGCTTGCACATATACTATCTCAGTTTGGTATGTGATGATAGATTTCTTTGGCCCTGGATTAAAAATTAATATCAATTGCTGGGGTTATTTGACCCTAGCAGTCTTTCCTGCCCAGAGCAGGGGGGCTGGACCTGATGATCTCACGAGGTCCCTTCCAGCCCTAAACTTCTGTGAATCTGTGACTATCAAGCAGATTATAATTGACCATGAAGTCATTGTCTATGTTAAACCTGTGGTACTTAGTATCCAATAGGCCTGCTCCCTTGCTCCTCTTGTAAAGGGATTGGGTAGACTTCCTTGAAGCAGAAGAACCATGAGGTCAGACAGGGAGTGATTTTTTTTTTTCTATGAAAGATGTTCTCTTACCCTTCTTAGAATGTCTCCACCTTTTATCATTTTTGTTGATCGTTCGTTCATAGTTTTTGTCTGTTTTTACTCACAGAGTCGGCAAGAGGGCATTGGCGCACTAAATGAGGTATAGCACATTCTGGGATAGACGTGTATGATCCATGGATTCTGATGGTTTTGTTGTGGTGAGTGTTGAGTCTTGTAAGAGCAGAGATGTGTTGACAGGTCTTATATTTATTGCTAAGGCTGGGCTGTGACCCATTTTGATCAGCAGGGAGTTTACTTCTAATGATGAATTGGGCAAGGTTAGGGGGCTATCTGAAGGCCAGATGCTGCAGGTGGGGGTTGGGTTCTCAAGGTCTGGTACTTTTCAATTATAAGCTGTAGTTGGTTGATGATCTTTCTTATAGGTTCAAGTATAATAGGTGACAACAAAGGGTGTGCAGTCAGTAGGGGGTGTTTCTCCTGTATTGCAGTAGTTTGCTTCAGGGTATTTGGGTGAGTCTTTCAAAAATATGGACTATTTCTCTGCTGGAGTATCCTTGCTTGGCAAAGGCAGTTTTCAGAGTGACAGGATGGGTGTCACGAGTGTTCTCCTCAGAGTAGAAGCGGTGAGGGCTTGATTGTAGATAACCACTTTTTCTATGTGTTTGGGATGATTGCTGATTTTGTGTACATAAGTGTAGTGATCCAAGGGTGTTCTGTATGTAGCAGTTTGTAGGATGCCTTATATGATAGTATCTATGAAGTTGAAGTTAATGTAGAAGTGTTCCAGAGAGGTTTTGACTGAAGAGTGGTAGTTGTTAAACCTGTGGTGGAAGTCAGTAAGTGAATCCAAGTGGTCAGTCCTGATGATCAAAATTTTATCTATGTAGCACAGGCATAATGCAGGTATTTCTTTCTTTTATTTTCAAACCATTTTTCCTTGTTTATCTGTTTTAATAACTCTTAATAATTGCTCCCTTATCACTAGTAATTCCAGACATTAGTTAAGAAAACCAAACCCAGACCCTGCTCCAGTCTCTGGCCCAGGTAAGTCTCTAGTACTAATATCTTATCAAGAAAACATTTACCATCACAACTTTATAGTTCTACTGATGGTATTAAATACTCATAAGAAAACATACCAGTAAATTAATTTTTTAGACATACAAGCCAAGTTATAGCAAAATACCTAAGTACATAAATAATTTGAAGCATCTGATTCAGCATTTTCTTAAGTACTTTGCAAAATGAGAACAATAGTGTCCACAGTTTGTTAGGCATTTAGCAAACATAAGAAAGGCCTCTATCAAATGGGTTTACTCTGTCTCATCCTGTAAAGTTCTACATACCAGTTGACTTTTGCAGCTGTACAGTGTCCCACTGACTTCCCTGAAATAGCTACTTATATGGATTAAACTGCAAAACCAAGGCATTAGTGGCCAAAGAATGAGGACTGGGTGATAGGATGCAAAATTACTGCAGGGAGTTTCAGCATGGGTATAATTGGGTCCATGATTTTCCATTTTCCTTCTACCATGCACCTCGCCTTACCCATTTCACAAGGTAGCCATTTCACAAAGAAGCAAGAAAGAAAGAAAGAAAAGAAAAGAAAAACTTTCCTGTTTCTACATATTGGCCACCATGGCCACATCCAGATGAGTGCGGCTATGCAGTATGTGGTGCCACAGACTTGTCTGTGGCACCACACACAACACATTCAGGCATTCCCCGCGCTGCTACGTTGTAGCATGGCAGTTTTTTGACCCCAGGACAAGGTGTGCCACTGCTACTTGTCCCCGGAGAACCAAGCATCCATGCTCATCTGGACGTGGCCCATGACTGGCAAAAGTTCCATGAGCTGTTTGCACTCTGGAACAAAGTCAAAGGAAACAAAGAAGAAATATTATAATACAGAACCTATGAACTTTAACTTTTATTTTTTCATGTAGAAAGTGAAAATGGAGAAAAATGTCTGATTCATGAAATATTTTTTTCTCGTTGGGACAAGCTGCAACTTGTATCTGAACAAAACTGCCTATGTAATTTTAATGTTTGGATAAAAGATGCAAAGACGTATTTTATGCACCCTGGTGCTTTCTGAAACAAGTTTCTCTGTCTAACAGTTTGAGACTCAAATCCAACTTTTTAAAAGCTACAGGAGGTGAATTGTACACAGAGGTACTTTTTATACAAACATGTACTCCTCCCTCCTGTATGCCAGAGAAAACAGGCGATGTGCGAGGAGTTACAAGCCTGCGCAAAAGGATGATATTCACCTGCCAAATCACAAGGAGCCTGGGTGACTGTAACATAGTCTGTCAATACCCCCCTAGAACATAATTTGCTCAAAGGGCCAAGTGCCAGCTTTCAAAGGCGTTTTATTCAAATGAACTTTTCAGATAGAGTGTAATAGCTGATCTGGATGAAGCAACTGGTTAAGAAAACTGGGAAGCAGATTTCCTGATACCACAATTTCTTAACCACAAAGTTTAGACTGCTGGCTCTATTATTGTCCTCACTCATACTTCCTAGGTTTGCAGCCTAATTGTTACACTGGAAATGTAGTAACTCAGTTGCCCAGAACACATCTAAGTAAGAATTTAAGTTGGTTCACAAAGTGTGTATTAAATTGCTGTAATTGTTTGTTTTCTTTTTGCCAACCTTGTGGTATAGAAGTAAAAGTACCTCTCTCTCATCCTCTCCCTTCCATTTACAAGGAAGAGGGATATTGGGCTATGACTTTGGATGAATCCCAACATGACTAGTAACAGCTGGCCTAACAAAATTCCCCTGCAGTTTCAATTGGACATCAAACTCAAAAGTCCTGACTTAAGTAGTTGTAAAGTGTTCGTGTGCATGCAAAGGAGCTAACACTTTTCAATTTTTAGGTGTTAGTGATTTATAGTATGCCCGTTTATAGTACGCCCATGCAGGTCCAGAGTGTGGAGTGCAATCTTGTTAGAGAGTGTAAAGATACCAAAAAAACACAAAATATCACTGTTAGCTTCCAGTGCTTTCTAATTAGACTGGAGCAACAACCAGTTTAGCATGCCACTCTCCTATGTCCAGACTAGGATAAAAGTTAGGCTCAAACCTTCTCACCTCCAGCCAGCTAAACAACACTTAGATGGCTAAGGTTGGCTGTTTAAGTGATGTTATAGGCCTATACAGATTTTATACCATACTCACTCTGCTTGTGACTTGCCTTGATCAGAAAGGATCCACTCCAGCCACTCATACTCGGTAGTGATTCTACTCTGGGAGTAAGTCACTAAACAAGCACAAACAGCAAGAGAAGGAAGTGTCTAGTTGCTAGGGCATTTGCCCAGGGACTGGAAGACCAGGGAGTTGAGCTTCTGTTTTTCACTTTCCAGTGAAATGACCAAACCAGGCCATGAGCTAAACCAGTGGTTCTCAATCCTTTTTGTACCAGGACCCATGTAAACTGTTAACGGCCAGTCCTGACCCAGTGCCCTTCACTCCCAACCTACTTTCCTCCACCCCTAGGCCCAAGGCCTCGAAATGTGTGGGTCTGGTGTGGGTAGAGCATGGGGAGCCCCAAGCAAGCCCTCTCAGGCTGGAACTCTGCCAGTCTGCAAGGGAAAAGCCACTGTTTCCCACATTTTTCTCCTTTAAAGGAGAATCCATTTTAAAAGTTTATTCATGACCCTTTCATATATTCTTGTGACCTACTTTTGGGTCACAATGAACAGGTTGAGAAATGCTGATCTAGACAATGGCAGAGCACTTTCCTCCTCTCCTGTTAAGGCTAGTCCACTGGGCAGCCAAGATAAGAAAATATATGGGACCAGGAGAACAAGGTACAGCAAGTGTGCTCAATAAGATGGATGCAGCCCTGGATTCTGGTCCTAGTGTCCATTTCCAGTGGGGTAGAAGCCCTCCCACTGTTGTCTATCCAATGAATATTAAATGCAGAAACTCCATTGGGAGGAAGTTGGATTAGGGTCTTAATGTTTTAAAACACTATCCAGCAAAGTGTTCAACACTAGTCTAGATTAGCACAAGTAGGTTTAAACAATGTATTTTCTAGTCACAATTAATATAGGAATCATAGGAATCATAGGAAATTAGGGTTGGAAGGGACCTCAGGAGGTCTCCTAGTCTAACCCCCTGCTCAAAGCAGGACCATCCCCAACTAGATCATTCCAGACAAGGCTTTGCCTAGCCAAGTCTTAAAAACCTCCAAGGGTAGAGATTCCACCTTGGAGTGATTCTGGTCCTAGTGTCCATTTCCAGTGGGGTAGAAGCCCTCCCACTGTTGTCTATCCAATGAATATTAAATGCAGAAACTCCATTGGGAGGAAGTTGGATTAGGGTCTTAATGTTTTAAAACACTATCCAGCAAAGTGTTCAACACTAGTCTAGATTAGCACAAGTAGGTTTAAACAATGTATTTTCTAGTCACAATTAATATAGGAATCATAGGAATCATAGGAAATTAGGGTTGGAAGGGACCTCAGGAGGTCTCCTAGTCTAACCCCCTGCTCAAAGCAGGACCATCCCCAACTAGATCATTCCAGACAAGGCTTTGCCTAGCCAAGTCTTAAAAACCTCCAAGGGTAGAGATTCCACCTTGGAGTAGCCTGTTCCAGTGCTTTACTACCCTCCTACATAGGTACCAAAAGGGGAAACACCTTTTTATTTAAGAAGATAGAGATTTAAAAATAGAGATTGTCCATATTTTTTTCTTTTAATTTAATAATGTCTGTTAAGAATGGGTGTGAAAGACAAGCTGTTCCAGTGCTTTACTACACTCCTAGTGAGAGAGTTCTTCCATGCTGCAACTTGAGACCATTGCTGCTTTTTCTGTCATCTGCCACCACTGAGAATAGTCCGGCTCCATCCTCTTTGGAACCCCCCTTCAGGTACTTGGAGACTGCTATTAAATCCCCCCTGTCTTCTCTTCTCCAGACTAAATAAACCCACTTCCCTCAGCCTTTCCTCAGAAATCATGTGTCCCAGCTCCCTATTTTGATTGCTCTCCACTGGAGTCTCTCCAATTTGTCTACATTCTTTCAGTAGTGGAGGCCCCAAAACTGGACACAGTACTCCAGATGTGGCATCACCAGTGCTGAAGAGAGGGGAATAATCATTTCCCTTAATCTTCTGGCAATGCTCCTACTAATGCAGCCTAGCATGCCGTTAGCTTTCTTGGCAACAAGGGCATGCTGTTGGCTTATATTCAGCTTATTGTCCACTGTAACCCCTATTTCCTTTTCTGCAGGAAATGGCCTATTCTGCTAATGCAGACAAGGCCCTATGAAGCTGCATAGTAATACACAGAGTTTTTCTATGCACTGAGTCATGCTGGAAGAACTGCACCTCTGGGTCTCCTTTGTGGTAAACTGGCTGTACACAATCTCCAATGAAAGTCTTCATGGTCCTATTGGGCCCCCTTCTGAGAACCAGAAGGTGGGTAAGGAAGGAATTACTGAAGTACGGCCTCAAGTCCGGCACCATCAGTAATAGACCTTTCAAAGACCACTATTATGTAGTATAATAATCTAATTGTGTCTTATTCCATTATAGACCAAAAAAAAAAAGCCATCAGCATTCTTCAAAATGTGCTGAATATAAGGAAAATGGAACATGCCTCCACATTTGCTGGAAATGTACTAAAGTAAATAAGGATGTTAATTCCTGGGCAGAAATACTGGAAATGATTAAAAAAAAACAAAAAAGCAGACACCCATGAAGGGCCCCTCGTTGTCCCACTAGGCTTAGGAATGATAGGAAATTATAGCTTGGGAAGCTATATATATTAACAGCTGCCAAATGGTTAGTCACAGCTAGCGGGGAACACAAAACCCCGAGCTTGATGATTTGGTTTAGCACAATAACAAATGTCCTAAAAACATAGAGGCCTGGAGCCAGTAAATTCATAGTCTGACTTCTGGGTTTAAGAAGTAAATGAATACTATTGGCTTCCAAAAAATATCAGCTGCAAAGTCTGTATATGAATGCATTTTGTCATCAGTATTTTCCCTGCTCTTTTTCTCCTTCAAGCCCAGGAAGTACAGCTCTTCATTATCCAAAGAGAGCTGTAGATACGGTTTATTCTATTATTCCTAACACATGTAGTTATCACACAAACTAAGATAGAGTATCCAATCTCATTGCATGAATTGATCATTGCTAGGTTCCAAGAAGATCTTGTCTACTAACCTTATAAAATATAATAAGGATAATAGTACTTTAACCTGTAAATCATAAAGCACTTTACCAAGATAGCAAAGTATTATTTAGGATAAGAAAGAGGAGGTCCAAGAAGACGGAGATTCATCAGCTAAAAATAAGATTTAAAAACTAGAGAAACCACAGGCGAAGTGATTGGCCTGTTTATGTAATTACTGAAATGGAAGTGGATGAAAGTCCCAAAGGTTTTAATGGAAGAGGCATAATTGCAGTCTAGAAAAATTTTGGAAAGTATTCCAGATAATTTAATACAGCCTCAAAGTAAAGTAAACAAGAATTATTTTTGTTGTATAAGCAGATTAGCAGTTATACTTCATCCAAAAAATATTAAATAGCTACCATATATTACACAACATGTAGCTTCAAAAGTTCCTGTTTCTTTCTGGCTATTATTTCCCCCTCCTCTCACCCCCCCCCTCCTTTTTTTTGACCATGTAAATGCATGACCCTTTTTCAAGAACTGCTTTGGTGTTATTACTTGTTCTTTTTTTAGCAGGAGACTGCCCTAGAATAGGAAGTGGATTTGTTGTTAGCGTTTCTTTTTGTTCAGGCTGTACATATACCAGTAAGTTGAGTGATAGCATCCTGTCCTTGTAATCCTACTGTTCTGTTTTGCTTGACAATGACATTTCAGCTTCATTTCACAAAAGAAATGGCCCAAGCCCTAACATCACTGCTATTCCAAAAATCGAGGTGTATTCAGTAGCTGTACAGTAACTGGTTTTAAACGAACCAAAACCAGAAATCTCTTTTTAATTTGATTGGTTTTTTTGGTCAGCTGCTCACTTGTGTATTTAGATGGAAAACTACATGTGAAACCCTAACTGTTAAATACAGTGGTCAGCGAGTTTTTGTGCATGCAGCTGTTAAATTCACTTGTAGAAAATCCCATCTCTATACACAATGGAAACTCAAATGTGTTTGTACATACATTGAAAAATGTGTAAGAGTAGGTGATAATGTGCAGTATTTGATTCAAGGCAATTCTTTGCATGAATGAAGCTTCAGGTGCAAACCACAAGGTCATTTTTAGCCCTATAACAACAGGCAGGCAGTTTCAGACAGTATTAAACATCATGCTTTGTGGCATAATAAGATCATTGCTATAGTCAGAAAGGTTTTCTCAAGCAAACACTTGACCCTCAACAATCAGAATATGCTGTAGCAACTTGGGAGGATCTCTGCTTTTAAATTTATGTATTTCTAAATATGTTTAAATAGCCTAAGACACGTCAATCTGTGGCAATATGCCACAAGTAGCACTGGCAGCCTCTGTGCGTGGCACATAGTAGAGCAGGAAGGTGGGAAGGCAGCAAAGTGGCAGATAGGGCAAGAAGCAGAAAGGCAGATTAGAAAGGGGAGGCAGTTTGGAGTGGCACTTAGAGAAGGCACAGGGCTTAATTTGTGGCATGCCTGCTAGAAAGGTTGGCTCCCACTAAGACATACATGCTGTGAACCCTACAAATCTGCAGATAACTATAAACAGACAAGAAAGGCATTTAAGATAAGTACTTTATATAAACATGCCTTGCACTCATAATACACAAATAGCAGACTGTTGGGAAAGCACAGCTACCTTCTAGTTCAGATTTCTTTTTCATAAAGCAGAATTTCTCTTCTCAGTCATTCTGATTTAAAATATTTGTGTTAAAATAACACATTATATAGTAGCATAGTATTCTCTAATAAGAGACCTTGTTGGTGACAGTGTCTTCCAGGAAGTGCCAAGGAAGTCATCGGTATGTCTTCCTGCATATAAAAATAAGTGTACAATACTATGAATATGAAATGCTGAAGCATAAAATCTCATTTGTAGTCAGAAATTAGATTGAGAGACCTCATCAAAACTTCAGTTTACAACATGGATAAAAAAATTCCCAAACATGTAACCAGTATTTTTGCGCAGGGTTGGATGTTGCTGTTACAGTGATTAAAAAAATATATTATTCTGATCATTACAAGCTAAGGGCTTGGTGCTGACAGTGTTTAACTTCCATGTCAACCAATAGTGGTTGATAGGATACAGCGCCTTGGAGAACTGAGCTATAGGGACTCAGTCCTATTGCTCTTGACGTGAAGAGAAAACCCTCAATTGTGTTGATGGAATCAGGACTGACTAAGTGGTGGTGTATCTGTTTTCTCAGTGTGGTGTCTTAGAATCTAAGTCCTTGCATAAAATCCTATCCTCGCTGAATTTATTTGTCAAATTTGCTATGGACTTTCCTGGGGGTTAGGACTTCACTAACAGACTTTTCTTTACAGTTCTGGAAATGAAACAGCAAAATTCTAAAATGATGAAAATTTATCCCAGACCCTCCACACAAAAATTCATAGAATTCAGATAATTTTATGTTTATGTTGCTAGTAATGTAAATATTGACAGTATTTTGATCATGATTTTCTATGGCCAATGCCTATGGAAAACAGCAATAGCTATTGCCAATTGTTAGTATTACCAAGGAACCAACATCCCTGATGATAGATTGAGTTTTGCTATTCCAAAGCATTACAAAATCATGAATCAGGCCTCAGATTTCAGGCAACTGGCTTATTTACCAAGTTATATATTTGGCATGGCAGGAATAGCCAAGCATAAGGAGGTAAGCTTTGTTACATGGTAGTAGATTTCTTGTTCAAATCCCAAAAAGAAAGGAAATGTTTGGACTTTACATAATATGTAGACAGTAGGTTGCGGTTTTAGAAAAGGTTGGGAGATGCACTTATTTGCCATATATTGCATAATTGTGTAAATTCAGAATGTATATCAACCATCAATTTATACCTGTCAAGCCTACCTATGTGTACTAATAGGTCTGGTCAATGTCCAGCTTGAGTAATTACTAGGCCTGTGCAAAATGGCAAGTATTTGGTTTGGATTCGGATTTGGCCAATTTGGAGGACAGTAACTTGATTCAGAGATTCGAATCACTATCCTGATTTGATTCAGCTGAATCAGATCTGAAAGATTTGACACCACTTTTGGAGATTTGGCCATAGACTGAGCAGGCAGCTGACACAGCTGCCTCCAGCTGGTGAGTCTGTTGG